GCGCCGCCGGGGCGAGCCCCCGCGCTCTTACCCGCCGCTCGGCATCAACGAGATTCCCGCAGCTCGGCTACCCCGCCGCCGTGCTCAAGGAAGGGGCTGGCGCCCGTCTACCCGCCCTATCTCAACTACCTGAGGTGAGGGCCCGGGCGGGGGCGGCCGCGGGTCCGGGTCCGGGTCCGGGTCCCGGGGGAGCGGCCCGCGGCTCCGGCCCTGCGCGCCGGCCGCGGCTCCCCCGAGTGGCTGCGGGAGGCTGGGTGGCCGGGGCGGGGCGCCGCCGGAATTTGGCTTCCTTTCTCTTCCTTCCTCCGCTCACTTGTTTTTGGGGGGGACACAAAGGGTGCTCCGAATATGCCATTTGGGGAGCGTGCCTCCCGAAAACATTTTTTTTCTTTCTTCCAAATATGCGAGATTCCCAGGCAGGACCAGCCCTGACTTAACATAGGCAGCGTCGCACCAGCTCCGCGGGTGCCGCGTGGAGAGGAAAGGGTGCCGCGAGTCGGGGGCTCTGTCATAGGGTTCAGCTCTAGGGCTTTTGCTGGAAATTGCCCATTTTAGATGGTCCTCAGAACACACCGTCAGGCACCTTTCCCCCTGCTGAGTGGCACTTGATGGAGGGTAGCAGGCAGAACCGTTCAATACCCAGACGAATCTCCAGATTAAAATTCATTTGTGTAATGTGCTTTACTTAGAGATGTCAATATCAATCACTGCAGTGCGGTGTATTCCAATATTGGTTTGGATTCACTACAACTTTTTGCACAGGTTTTCAAAAAAATGTGACTTACATACTGAGGGAATGGAATTTTAAAGAGAGAGAATCTTAAGTGCTGTGAGTAGGCAAAACGGTGTCAATATGTTGAACAATACCTTAAAATGACACAGAAACTGGTTTAAGTAAGCAATCATTACAGGGTTGAGTTCTAAAACTCACATTGAAAGCATTAGTAAGTACTCTTGAGCTTTCCTGAACAACAACAAAAAAAAAGGTATGTTATTTATTGTTCTTTTGCCTAAGGCTACTGATGAAAGAAAGGCTCATAATTTGTAAGTCTGATGAATCAAATAGGGGGTTTAATTTGCATGTCTTTTAAGTGTGTACATAATAGTTCTATTTTTTAAAACCCCCTTTCATTCTGTCAATTCTGGGGTTAAGAAAACTTTGCTATTAGATAGTGTTGCACCTAAAAATAACTGGAGTACTTTGTTTTGCATTTCAAGGCCGGATTCAGAAGCCAGCCAG